CCCCCCCCCCCCCCCCCCCCCCCGGAGCTGAGGTAGGCCTTTCCTCCATTTAAACAAAACACACCACCTGGTAACAAAACTAAGGTAATTTTTCAAGATTTCTGCAATTCACCCTAGAGGAGTAAATAAAACTAGTTAGAATTTAGCATTATGTAGATTTTGACTTTTTTGTAATGTCTGTGGTCTTTTATTTTCTTGAATGAGTCAGTAATAAAGTTGTTCAAACGGGGAGGAAACCAAGGAATAAGACCTTGCTATCTTGGGCCGTTTCCTATTCCAGTCATTTGTCATGTGGTCTCTGTAATTTCATACTTACCAGGCTATATAAAGAGACTCATAAAACGGCCTCCCTGGGATGTAGCCGGCTTAATGATTATTCTAAAGTAGTTTAAGGCACCCGGATGAAAGGTGGCTGTAGTTATGAACACAATTCCCAGAAAATTTAAAAACTTGATTTCTATAGAAATCAAACTCGATGAAGGGGAAGTTACTCTGAATTTGGCTGACTGATACCTCTAGTAATTACATTTTTTAAGTTGTAGAGCTTCCTTTTACAATTTTAGCATGCCACAAAAAAATTGCTCAGAATTGGGGGTTTAGCATTTAACCCCCAGAGCCAGAGAGCTGAATTTCCGAGGGCCCCCAACACAGAAATCTTGATTGAAACACATTAACTTATCTTGCAACATGCAGAAGTTGAGGCTTCACCATTTCTGGACAATCCAGTATAGTTGCAACATTTTACCTACGGATATATATTTATGTAATAGGCACTGACAACATCAAAGGCTATACTGGTTTCTAATAGCAACCTAACAGTCCTGCCAAAGCAGGGAAGACTAGCGACATCCTTGATGCATTCTGTGCATACACAACGTGCTGCAGGCTTTGTATTGTGGGGAAGTGGGGCACAGTTTCTGCCCTAAAAAGTGTGTTGACATCTAAAATTAGGACAGTAATGCCGGTCAGTGCTAGAGATTCCAACAGAACTTCGACCTTGGGGAGGGGGAGGGTGTGTGTGTGTGTGTGTGTGTGTGTACTCAGATCTGTTTTGAACCTTAGACCAAAAGACAAGACAAACACACAAAATAACCACTTAATTTAATACTACGGTAATATTCTTTGATCAAATTCTTTAAATCGAGGGGTCGGAATTTTTCAGTTAAGGATACTCACTCCGTGAACAGTTCCAATTCATTTATTCATTCACCCACTCACTTATTCAACAGAGGTTTCTTAAACACCCGTTCCGCGCTAGGCACCGCCGAGTCATCACAGACGTGGTCCCTAACGCCAAGGTGTTGACAGTCTAGTCCCGTCACTGAGGGACTTACAACACATTCTGGCATCATTGCTACTGCGTTTGCACCCGGTGAGGATCGGCCCCCTCCAACTTCCCCACGTGGTCCCGGCAGGTGAATGTGGGTGTGAGCGCGTGAGTGGGGAGTGTGAGCGCACGTGTGTCAGAATGGCGCGTGTCACAGTGCGCGGGCAGGAGGCGGCGTGGTACGCGTTTCCATAACCGCCGGAGCCTGGCTGTGCCGGCCGCAGTGGGCTGGTCTCTCCCACCCACGTCCCGGAGGCGGCGCGTGACCCCCGGACCCGCGCGATTGTGAGTGAGCGCGGGCCCGCGTCGGGGGCAGAGGGGGAGGGGCGCGCGCCTTGGGGCCCCTCCATGTCAATAGTGATAATTGCCCGGGCCCTCTAAAATTCCCGGGGCGAGAAAGAAAAACCCTGAGCCTGTCCCCCGTCGGTATAGAGGTGCTTCTCTAAAGCCACTCTCCCGAAAATTATACTTTATCGGTGGGCCTTCCCCCGCTGTTCGCCCTCCCGAAACATAAACATAGCCCGGGCGGAGGACCTCTGTG